CCAATCAGTGCCTGTGGAATCCGTTGCGATCGGGTTCCGTGGTAATCAGGAGTAATAAAGATTGTAGCACCCAATCGCAATGGGTAACAATTGCGAAATCGATTACTTATCGACTATTATTGGTGAGCTTTCAGACACGATTTTACTTTGCGATTGGGTGTCGCAATTGCTACAACCGATCGCAATGCGAAGCTAGTCTGAATAGGGTATTAGTAAAACTTCAGTTGTTTTGTTTGTGTTTGTTAACATTTTGCAATCAAATTTAAAAAAGGAATTCTGAGTTGGTAGAAGAGCTGCATAGAATTTTGTTAAGTAATTCTGCAGGTGTTTTCTAATTTAGAAATATTTATTATATGCTTGTGTATTGATGTTAAAACTAGTAGTAAACGACTTTCTGTCACCTGTTCCTGATAATTATGATGTCCTGTGGTATGATGATTATGCATTTTTGTTCAATTCAGTAAACAACAGTCAACATCAATAAAAATAGCCACTAACCTAACATGGTTGACTCTTAACATAATCATGATAAACATAAAGTAACCAAATATTTTGTGCTTATGGACATAAAATATATTAACGTTGATTTAATAACAACATTAATGTTGATTCAATAACAAAAGCATTATAACTTTCAAAAATGTAAAAAATTTATTGATGCATAAGCATATAATAATAATAAATACTTTATTTCAACACGGTAAATCTTGATTCACGTAAGGGTGTTTTTCATCAAGGCCGTGCAAGGCCGTATAAATATAAGTAGTATAAAACAATAAAAGAAAACACAATGAGTATAGTAATGTAGTTTTAAACAATTTTTTAAGCGTATTGGGTGTGGTTTTAATTTATAGTGAACTGATCATGATCAAATATTGTATTAAAGGAGGAGTTTAGTTTTTAAAACAAAAGTGTTGGCACAAAAAGCAACTTCCATAAGAAACAAATACATTAAAAAATGTAGTGGGGAAAATAACAAAAACTACAAAAATTATATGACAATAGATTTTGTTTCATGTTGGTCGTGAAATAAATCATGACTCGCTATTGTAAAAAAAAAAAAATATTATATTTTATATTATATTGGAGGATTCCTGTCATCAGTTGATTGATGGGTATCTAAATTTTAAATGAACTGCCTTTGCAAATTCACCTCAATTATGCAACACTCAGGGCAGCATGCAAGATCGACGAAGGTTGCTTGAGAAGATGCATATAATAATGGAAGTATTGAACTTGTTTTTTGCAGAACCCTAGCCCAATGGATAAGAAACCGGAAGATAGGAGATCATCACCAACAGCTGGACAAAGGAAGGAAGGTAACAAAAGATTTTTCAATGGTTTAGAGAAGCTTTACGATGAAAATCTTAAAATTTTCTTCCATAAATTTAAGGGAATATGCAAATATGCAAAGAATAATGTGTAATGGTATTTAAGCTTTAATTAATTTCCAAGAATTTTCTTTTCTGATATAAATTATAAATAATAATTTGTATTTAATTATATAAAATTTGAATTTTTTAAATCAGACAAAATATTCTTTAATTATTCACTATATAATTTATTCTTCATCAATTTTTATTGATAAGTAATATAAATATTGCATTGAACAATATAACACACATATATACAATGTATTATTCATATATTGAAAATTTATATATTCAAATTTAATTATTCATATATTCAAATTTATTCAACAGCTGAAGACCGAAATGACTATAATCGTATGAATGGCCCCACGGCAGGAAACTTTGGCAAACCGCTAAAAGGAGAAGATCGCAAAACATCTGACTCGGATGGGAGGCATCCAGAAGCCGACCGGATCTCAACAAGCTCATTAGGAAAACGTGATGTTGAAAATGACAAAAAAGATGGTGATAGAAGAGATTCTGAAAGAATAGATCATGATGAACGGTTACGACCAAATGATTACAGGAGGAAAGATGAACCTGATGACAGGATACTGAGAGAGAGACAGGAACATGAAAGAACAGCGCCTCCACTCCGAGACAGGTATGACCCTGATGGCAGGTATGGAAAGGGAAGGTATGACGACCAGCGAGGCCCGCCACCAAATTCTTATAGTGATTCTTATCCTCGGCGGACTCCACCCATTGAGTACGATGGTCAGTCGCGATATAACGGTAGGCCTAAGACCCCGGTTATTGATGGTTATAATTCCAGACCTCAATATCCAGATGAGAGGGATTACAGAAGCAGAACGCCAAAACCAGACAGGACCCCATCTCCCTCCAAGGCAGCTCCCATCAGTAAGTTAATTTTTATATATTAGCTGTTGTTAGTTAGGTTAATGTAAGATGTCTTGATATTCAAATTCTGATGTTAGTGACTTCTCTGTAAGTGTTCTACTTTTCATATGACCAGGAGGTGAAATGGTGTTAAGTTATTTGCTGAGATGTCATGTTTTTTGAATAGTTAACACTTTATTCAAATGCAGATATGCTGCCACCGAAATCTCTTTTAAAATATAAATTCTCCCATCAAAAAAACACACCACTTGCTGAATTGCCCTGACATATATTTCATTGGAAGTTGATAACTAATTTTTCCATATTTTATGATGAATTGGTTGTTTTTAGATAAAATACTATACTTTACACATTGTTGACAAGTACATTGCAGGTCATTTGTAAACTATTGAAGGGCCCCATTGTTTGTAGAATTTTCCCATTGATAACAAACATTAGGGAAAGAATACCAACACCATTTATCATGTGACCTATAATAAAGTTAATCGAAAACAAGGCTGTCAACGAATCAGTGAACTATTTGGTATTTCTAATCCATTAGAGTTATCCAGTGGGATTATAGAGATTAGGTTTGTCAATCAGTTAATAATCCTTACTTGATCTGTACTCAGATGCTATCTGAATGAAGTTATTTTTAGTTTCTCAATATATCACTATATACACTATGTATCTCCATAACTCTGACAAATTGACTACATTGTTTGTTTTTATTTTATTCATTTATTTATACAATGCCTTTTTTAGTTTAACTTCTGGAATTGTAGGGGTTTTATTTTGTTTTCTCACAACTAAAAGCAATTCTAGTTAGCCTTATTTAAGAGACCATCTCTTGCATTTGTAGGCAACTAGATATGCACTGTCGGAAGAAAATTAAATTTTTTAAATGCATAACATTAAAATTAAATTACCACTTTTTGTATTCATTCATCTATAGAAGGAGAACCTATTGATAGAAGACCGCCTTCGAGACCAGAGATAGATGATAGACGACCGCCTTCAAGGCCAGAGGCAGACGATAGAAGACCGCCCTCAAGACCTGAGGTAGATGATAGACGACCAGCCTCAAGGCCTCGATTGGAACAGGACCCAATGGGGGATGATTCCAACTATATGGAGACAACAGTATTCTTGAAAAGGAAAGAACAAGGATTCGGATTCCGGATTGTTGGAGGACATGAAGAAGGCTCGCAGGTAAGCAGAATTTGGGGTTTTTGTTAATGAAGGTCATGAGGTCAGTTTGCTCTAATGTTTGCAGTGTCTCAAGTATGGAGCATAGGCCTACAATTATTTATGACAGCCACTTTTACCGAGACGGCTTGGATGGCTTGGCCTAATCAGCTCGGCCTAGCCTAATAATGGACCTGGTCTACCTTTAGCAAATTCTTTATATTCTTCAAATCTATCGAATGTTACATTAAACTAAAGCTAAATCAAATTTACTTTTGATAAAAACAACATTTATTGATTAAATATACGTTGCTTTCGTACCAATATTCGGTGGGAATTCCCAAAGATGGGCATGACCCGCTTATTGACTAAGTGCCACACCCACTATCTTCCATTTTGGAAGGCCTATTTGGTTTTTCTGGCTAAACCCCTGGTATGGAGAAGCCACTTTTTGGGGTTTAAAGGTTTTTCTTAACACATCTAATGGACCTTTCCGCTAAGCCCCGCCCCTTGGATATTGTTGCTAAGGTCTCGCAAAACGACAGCATTAAAACATACGCAAACACATATGTGTTTGTGGGACAACGTGTGTGCAAAGGTGGCGCAAGTGGGGGGGGCCAGGGGGGGCTTAAGCAGTCAGACCATAAAACATATAAAAATAGGCCCACACCAAGCCAACACATGTCTGTCACAGTCTGAGAGTGCCATTTCCAGCCATCCAGAGGTTGCTATTCTTAAAAAAATCTCATTTGGGAGGGAAACCCCCCTCAACCCCTTCCCTCAGCTCGAGCCTACGAGCTCAAGTCCCCCGTCAGACAATTTAGGCCCCCCCCCCAGAAAATATATCCTAGAGCTGCCACTGCATGTTTGGTTGACACTCAAGAAATGTTGATTATATTTTACTTTATTTTGTGATACTCGCGTCTAGCTGACTTTAGAAAAACAGTAATACAGTTACTGTAGTAAAAACATTTTAAAGCTTTTTTCATGGGATTGCAGAAACCATGTCAATTTCTGGGAGATCTCTGCTATTGTACTTCTTTATTTAGTGATGTGTTTGTATTACAAGCATAATATTTTCATTTCAGACAGTATATATGCTGCCCTATTTGCCAGAAGGCATTACTGTAATTATTGTTGGAATCTGTTTACAGCCAGAATTTTGCAAATTGTACGCTTGAGTTTCATTAGAATGTTAGTCCCTGACCTTCCTGAGTTTTGTATGCACTTGTCCAGTTAAGGTTAAAGGTCAAGTAAAAGTAAAATTAAATGAACTACAGATTTCAAGAACATGTGAATATTATTGAAAGTTCAGTGACATGCTGATAAGTGGTCTTTGAAGATGCTACAGTAGCTTTTAATTACTATTTATTATACTTTAACTGAAGGATCTATGAAGTATTTTGTTTTCTCGCTAAAAAGAATTTCCTGGAAATTTCACACTTGATAATAATTAATGGTTCTTTGACACACCGACATATCTTAAAGTTTAATTAATTTTGTAAGTCGAGATATAGCTTGGTAGTTTGGATGCTTGTCTTCCAGTCCCAGAGTCCAGGGTTCAATTCCTGTGACCACAAGATTACTTCTCATGACAAAATAAACAAAAAAACATTCTCATTCCCTTAGCTTTATAAAAGTTGAGAATCGTGATGTTATTTCATTTATGCAAGTTATCGTAATCTCAAAAGCTCCAATGAGGGCAGTATAATAGAACCAGTAGAGCTAAAAAAATCTATTAGTCAATCAACTATCAATCAATCAGCCAGCCAAGTGTTTCTAGAGCTCCTCATGAGGGCAGTATAATAGAGGCAGTAGATCTAAAAAAGATCTATTAATCAACTATTAGTCAATTAACTATTAATCAATCAACTATTAATTAATCAACTATTAATCCATCAGCCGAGTGTTTCTAGAGCTCCTCATGAGGGCAGTATAATAGAGGCAGTAGAGCTAAAAAAGATCTATGAAAATAGAATTAACTACTAATAAATCAACCTCATGAGGGCAGTATAAAAGAGGCAGTAGATCTAAAAAAGATCTATTAATCAATCAACCAAGAGTTTCTAGAGCTCCTCATCAGAGCAAGTAAGAGGGTGCCTGAATATTTGGAAACCTAGAACAAGCTTGAATGGTCACCCTCTAAACTTACAGTACGGTGAAAAAATAATTTAATTTTCTTGCGTATTTCAACAGGTTTCTATTGGTGCTATTGTCTCCGGTAGTGCCGCCCATCTTGATGGACGACTGTTGACCGGTGATGAGCTGCTGTATGTCGATGGACAATCCGTGATAGGTGCTTCGCATCGTAAAGTGGTCAACCTAATGGGAAGTGCTGCCCTTGCTGGACGTGTATCACTAGGAATTAGGAGACGATTGACAACAAATGGTAGCGTAGCTTTCTGTCATATAACCTTTTATTTATTTTTTTATATTTTTTTCGGGCATTTGTTATTTATCCCCTAAAAATTTGCATAATTTTTACTATGCATTATTATTAATTTTGTTTTTGTCTTTGTTTCATACATATAGAAAACTTCATATCTTTTATTATCATCAACAATCATCATTTATGTTATCATCATCATTGTCATCATCATACTCATCATCGTCATCATTTAACCATCATCATTCCTTATAATCATCGTCATTATCAACATAGAAATTTCAACGCCATTAATTTTACTGTCTTTTAGAAGAGGGTGTAGTTACCAATTTTAGTTTCATTTTATTTTGTCATTCTAATTCATTTTGTCACATGATTATTTTTATCCTATGCATTCACATCCTGCCCTACTTTTTCTTTCACTTACATATTCCTTCCTCCTATTCTACTGCCTATTTCAATCTACTCATTTTCAATATTTTATTTACTTATTTATTTATTTATTTATATATTTATTTATTTATTTAAAAAGAATTAAATAGAACAATGCAAATGAAAAGGAAGACAAAATACAAAATTGAGCAAGGAAGGAGACTTCTTCCATCACATCTAAAGAATCTCAAAAACACAATTTTCAATTAATTGCTCTGGTAATTTCACAGATGATCGGAGTCCAATGGTGATGCGACCCCCATCACGTACCTCCCAGGGCCTTGGATCTCCCAGCTTGTCTGACACGCCCATCACTTACCCTTACGACATCAACCTCACCAGACGTGATACTGAAGGTTTTGGATTCGTCATATTGTCTTCCACGTTACAGTCTGGGTCAAAAATAGGTAACAATCAGTTCGCACCATTTTGGTATATTATTTGCCTCGCATCAAATAGTTCATTGAACTTCAATTTTGTGTTAGGGATAGAATTTGTTGAATAAATTAATATAATGTTCTCATGAAAATAATAATAATAATGCATCCTTTATTAAATATTTGATAATATTTAATATATAATCATAATATGTGTGTAAGCTGTTCTAAGTGTAGGCATAAGTTTCTGTTATTACTTTTGCATGGCAGGAAATATCTTCAGATCTGATATAACTGGGGCGGATTTCTAAAAGGGGTCTTTAAGATGGTCTTAATGGTTAGTTGGCTATAATCGTGACATCACTACTGGTGTATGATTATAGACCATTGCTATACCCCGGTCTAACCGGTTAGCCGACTTAAATTTTAAAGCCTACTCGGAGGAGGCTTGAGACGGTCTTAAATCATCATAGATCGTCAAAGTCGGAGAATCGAACGACAAATATTCCGCACGCATCTCAGCATCTGTAAAAATAGATCTACGTTTATTTACGTTCATTTCAATACATGGCGTGCATCGAGCACGCATTACCCTCAATCTTACGTTACCAGGGAGTGCTTGTTTGCATTTCAATACTCAAAGCGGTCTTAGGGAAGACTGTTTTATAGCAAAGGTTTTTGAGGAATGACTTTAGTAGTGATAAAGCCGGCTTTATTCGAGGAGTTAAGACTACCAGTTAAGACCGTTTTATAGCAATCCGCCCCTGGGTTAAAATCTGCTTTTTTTTTAACAATATTGCGAGAACACCAAATGGTTCTGAGATATTTTAAATTGGGCAAACTTTTGCTATTATTAGTTTATTGATATAAAATGGTTTTCACTAGTTTTGGGAAATCTCTGGTGTTAGACGGTTACTGTGGAAGCAGGGTTTCTTGTATATATGTTTTGTAATGTGTTAATTGATAGTGTGATTACATGACATAACTATAGTTTTAGTTAACAGTATAGTAAAATTAATATTCCAATATGAAATATCTTAGCTTCCTATATAGTAGAAATTCAATAGAGTATGCCTTGGCACATCATAGCCAATTACATTTTTAATGGACATTTGGGGAGAAAACTAAACAAAGTAACCTTTTAAATTCATTCTATATGCTTCTTTGGTACAACACAGTAACACAAAACATAGTAAAAATAATCCAAATAGCTCTGTTAATCTAATCAATTAGTTAATGTTAATCGAGCGCACTCTTTTTATTAATAATATGATTAAAATATATTTTCCTACAGTTAACAGAGATTCTTATATTCACTTCCAATTATAATGATTTTGTACCATTTACTGAGTCACACTGATTAAATAATTATATTGTCACTTATATATATATATATATATATATGAATACTAAACATTAGTTATCTTTTTTTAAGTTCTTTTTGTTTTAATTATTCATTATACTGGGTAGAGTAGCTAAATTAACAACCTTTAGGTATTAGTGAGCTATTTATAACAAAAACACAATTGTCTCCACAATTTTCATATTTAGTTTTTTTTTTAAGTTAAACATATTTAAGTAATTATAGTGTTTTTATGTTTGTCTTCGATTTGGTTTGTTTGTATCTGTGCGCCACTGATTGTTGTCGTGTGTTTCTACCGATTGTGTTCAGGGCGTATTATTGAGGGTAGTCCGGCTGATCGTTGCGGGCAGCTGAATGTCGGGGACCGGCTTATTGCTGTTAATTCGATAGACATAACGACAATGCACCACAAAGACATTGTCAATATGGTGAAGGATACGGGGAGAGTTTGCACTCTTACTATTGGATCGCCAGGTAACTGACTGATAGATACTCTACACCCACTCCTCCTTTCCTGCTCCCTATTGTCATTCCTTCTTTCCCCACTTCTTCTATTCATCCCTCTTCTAATACGTTTTTCTATTTACCTTTCCTTCAAATATTCTATAGTATTACCAGTATTCCCTATTACCAGTAATTCTTCAGTCTCCCTTTCACTATAACTTTTTCCTATCACTTACTACTACTTAAGATCTGTTCAGATTTTCTTTGACAAAACACTGCTGTACGCCCATATATAGTCATGATGTGTCTATATATGGCCATGATGTGATGTCATCATGACCATATTTAGGCATGTCACATGTTTTTGGCAAGTAAAATTTTATAGTCTGGACAGGGCATTTGAATTCTGACTCCCCATTTCTTCATTCCCTCGTCTATTACTACCCCCCTTATCATTGCCTTTTTCTCCCACTGTTATGATCATTCCCTAATTTTTCATACTACTAATTCCCTCTTTCTTTCTCTACTGTTTCTCACCTTTACCGGTTTTTCCTAACTGGTTCACCTAAACTTTCACTCTACTTATTATTCATTATATTCCTTTTCTTCTCTTTAATTTTTTCCCTTCTACTATTCCTTATCTATTCTCATCTTCTGTTTTGTATTTTCATCAAATCTTACTTTTTCTTGTGAGTATTCTTAGTGTCGATCCTTTATAATTGATAACCAGCTCCTCTGATTGTTTCACTGTTTTGCTCTTCTTGATTCCTTTCTCATATATTTTCAATATTTTATTCTTCTGATTCCTTCATCTCCTAATTAACATTTTGTATGTGTCTTATATTGCTTGGTGTAAATTAAATTTTTAGTTCTTTAATTTATTAATACATTATATTTATCCTTCTGTTTGATTTTCCTCCTTGCAATGTTTTTCCCTCAATCCTTTCCATCAATTTATATTAAATTCTTATCTGTTTGACTAATTTATACAGTATTTATAACTTTTCACCAATTTAATATTATATGTACCTAATATTAATAATATCATTATTTTGAATAATTATTTCTTTGGTGATTTTTATCATTAGCTAAACTGTAGTGTACTAACATTACCTAAACTGTAGTGTACTAACATTATCCATAAGAGTAACATTATTAAAAAGTAACTAATATTACACTTAACTTTAATAATTACATTTATTAAAATTGTAGCAAAGGAAGGAATATTCACTTTTAAGATTACAAATATATAACATGCACACACAAACTACAAATTATAGAAATATAAATTGCAAAATTTTAAAAAATAATAATGCAAAATTACAATTATTTGTACCTTCTAGACTGAATATCAAGAATGAAATTAACATACAGTACAATATATGTAAAGTGTCATTAGGCTTCCATTGCTAAATTAACTGTTTGTGATTCTAAAGTGTATAATCAGCTGTACTTGGATATGTGAAGGTGTTTATCCAGCTTGGTGGTATCTCATTTGTTGGATTGCTATTCAAAAGACTGTTGATAATCAATGTTAAAATGTCAAGCAATGTATCGTCGGCTAACATAATGATGATATTTTATTAGCTTTCTTTCAACCCAACCAATGGATGGGTTTCTAAAGGTCTACTATACTTGTTTTTTATTTGTATTTAGTCACTAATAATGCTTACTTATTAACTTATAAAATTGTAAGTAAATAATGCAACTTATTGACTTAAAATTTTAAAAAGTGTATATTCATCTGATTTTAATATATTTCTCCCTTAATAGAGGATCACGCATCTGGAGGAAACTCACCTAGAGTAAGATATATGTCTGTTATCTATCATTGAATCATAAACATTCATGACAGCAGCATCTTCCACATCATTTTTGAGCTGTCATTACAAAATGAGTATTGTGGTTTTGGTTTTTTTCTTCTCTGTTGTTGTTAAGCGCCTCAAGGTTGCGTCAACTTGAGGCACAATATAAATCCAGAATTATTATTATAAAAAGAAAAATGAATTATTGATAGATGAACATTTAATTAAGCTTTATTTTGGTGTTTAAATCATGTTCCTAGGTTGATTATAACCATAGTAAGATCATTTTAATGTTCAGATGTCTAAAAACATACTTAAGACAAAATCGCCTCTTAAGATAAACAACTAATAAATTTTGTGTTGGTTTTCCTATTAATTTTGAAAAATAGCTTTACAAAATGTACCTCAAACATGATTACATTAGGTAACTCAACTCGTGAAATTTGCTATTATGAAATATACATAATAAACTTTAGAAAAATTGAAACCCACCTTTTTTCAAAATATCACTTCAGATATATTTTCTTGAATATATCAAATTGACCCGGCGTACCACACAGCTCATTTTGTCACGACAGCTCACATTTATGTTACAGATCTCCCTCTAATTAAAGATCCCTCCATTTAAAGACCACCTCCAATTAAAAACAACTTTTATTTTAATTAGAGATCAAAGCTGCTAAAGACCACAGAAACCCTGGTCCCAAAATATTCTTTAATTTGAGGGAAGACCTCTATATATTATTTAATATTATCAAAGAACTTAAATAGCAGAAGAATGAGCTCTTCGCGTATTTTGCGTTAAATTTGGTAGAACATCCGCCCTTTCTAGAATGGAGGAAGATTATTTCATGGAGTGGAGAGACTAATGAAAACAACCAATCCAAGATATGGTGCGTATGGAGGAAAATTGCTCTCATGGACGCCCTACTGGGGCGTTCCACTATATTGCGAACTGCTCTATCTTTTGCTTTTTACTATCTTTGATATTATGCAGGAATATTATTATAAATATTATAGTAGTGATGTAATCATCACTATACCATCATGATATACTTATGCCATTATTACAGTCATGATGTCATCATTCAGTATCATCAACATATTAAGATGTTGTTGCTGATAATGATTATCCACACTGTCATCATTATCAGTGTCAACTATTATCCATAACATTGTCATTACCATCAACATGATCTATCATCACTGTATTATGACTATACCATTAAAATTGTTGTTGTCATATTATATCATCCTCACATCATTATCATAGAAATTATCATAATTGTCATCTTTTTCATCAACATCAACAATTTTTGTATTTAACAAATCACTCAAACTACCTACTAGTGCTAAAGCATAATACACTGACCATAATAATCTCTGTTTTCTAAAGGGCTCGGATAGTATGATGAATGCATTGGCAATGCCAGCAGATATCAAGGGAAGCGATGCCAGTCTACGTCCATCAAATATACAGAAATCACCTGAAAAAATGTAAGTAAATAAGAAAAAAAACAACATGTTTTTGCTAAATTTTTTAACTAAAATAAGATCAATAAAGAGACTTTTATTTCAAATAGAAATGTTTGTGTTGTTAATTTTTGTTTTTTTTTCTTGTTATCCATATCTCAGGTACCATGATGAAAAGCGAGGGCAGGACCCACGGCAGAGACAGCCAAGTCGGTCAGAAATTGGACCACCTTCACCAAGTAAAGGTACACTCCGGCGGGACCCATCTTATCCCGGTAACCCTGCTTATAGACGGGATGACCCACGTCTAACTCATGTACCTCCCTCTCAAATGAATGGAATGGACTACCGTGACCCATATCCAAAAACTGAACTTGATAGACCTTCACGGTATCCTCCACATGGCGGTCCTTCACCATCATACAGAGATGGTCCATCATATAGAGATGGTCCACCGCTACATAGGGATGGTCCTTCACCATCATACAGGGACGGACCGCCACCACATCGTGATGGACCACCTTATCGGGATGGCCCATCACCATCATACAGAGACAGTCAGCCTTACTATCGTGATAATCACCCACCTTATCGTGAGGGTGCCCCTCCATATTGGGATAGTCCATCATACAGAGAAGGTCAACCGCCACATAGAGATGGACCACAGGGCAGACCGAACTCACGGCCCACACCAGACAGATATGGGGCGATGGAAAAAAGAGGAAGGCACCCTCAGTCACCCGATCGAGGTCCGGGCAGGACAACTTACTTGTATGATGATCGTCGGGAGGACTTTAATCACCCATCACATGACCGATTTAGTGATCAGTACCCTTATCCAGAACGCAAAACATACTCGCCATCAAACTCAGAGCGCTGGCACGATGGCTACCACACGTCACCGCATCCTAGAAGGCGCCCACCGCCTCACTTGGCAGACGACAGAAGGAACTCTCCCATGCAGGACAGGAAGGGCTATCCTAGTCCAAAGTCAAGGTCTCGTGAAGCTTCACTGAGCTCCATGGTCAGCTCTCCACTGGTTAGTATCTGGTTGTCTGTGGTTACACACATTGCAAACTATTGAATGAGTAAAAATATTTGGTTGTTGAATGCAGAGCTTCTGACTTCCAATATCAATTAATCTTGCAAATTATCAAGAAAAATACCCAGAAATTTACCTTTATGGTTTCTGTCTCAAAATATTAACAATATATCAATTCAGACCTCTATAAAAAATATTCTAAACCTATTTTGTTGATGAGTAGATAAAACAAAAATGGATTACAAATCAACAATAATACTATTCAAAATGTATGCCTTAACATAAATTGTAAGACAGTGTTTCATAATTTATTTTATTGCTTCATAATCACTATTTGTTCTTTGATAGAATGAAGTAGACACCGGAGACTATTTTACAGTTGTTCTGGATAAGGGGACGACAGGTTTTGGTTTTAGTATTCGAGGGGGACGGGAGTATCAGAACACGCCGATCTTTATTTTAAGAATGGCACATGATGGTCCAGCAGGTAAAGATGGAAGGATCAAGGTAAGAAATAGTTTGTTGCTACCATATGTGTGCTCTGCACATACAGATGTGCTCAGCACATAGAAATACACACAGATGTGCTTAGCACACATAGAAATACACACAGATGTGCTCATCACATTATCTGCTCACCACACACAGATGTGCTCCGTTTTGCTCAGTGCTCACAGATCCGCTCAGCAAGGTTAATGGCCGCTCAACATACACATGTATGCTCAGCACATGAAGTGTGCGTGTAGCATGCACACGTGTGCTCAGCACATACTGATTATATCAGCACGTACACTTCTATTGTGCACACATACATTGATTGTGCCACACTAACATGACTAGTGCTACCCCTGCTGTGGTTCCACTGTAATTCTGATATCTTGCTTTCAAGGTCGGTGATCGTTTGCTTGAGATCAACGGTATGAGTACAGAGAACATGCTGCACACGGAGGCTATCGCTGCGATCAAGAGGGGTGGTAGCAGGTTACATCTGATCCTCAAGCGAGATGAGGTATCTCCAACATTAGGTACAGTACTATTTCCTTATCAAAATTTTAGTGTGTAGGTAGTTAATATTTTTGACATTCAATCTTCTAGGCTGGATTATCTTCCTTTGATATTTTTCAATTGATGGGCTCCTAGGTCTTCCCTCATTGTTTTACTATGTTTAGCAATGTTGTTGTTCATTGATTTCAGACCAGGTAACATCCACTCTGATATCACAACATGCATATTTGTCAAATCCTTGTCCGATATTTCATTTTGAAAGCAAACACCCTATGTCTGTAAAATAATTATGTAACCCTTTCATGTCTAGTATTTTGTTAGATAATGTTTAATGTAGAAAGTGTGTTAGATAGAAGTTTAGATTAGTGATTCCATGTTCCTGCTCAATTATAAATGTATGAATTTTTGCAGTTGTATGCAATTGAAATACGACTTGAAATCTTATCTTATAACCACCATACCTGTTTTACTTATCCCACATTTCCTAACGTATTTTTATAGCATAGAATCAAAAACCGTTTTCTAGTGTCATGGCAGAGGTATTTTAATCATTGATTGTAACCTGTCTATTTCTCGTACAGTGTGATCATGGAAATCCTCCATGCTGTGTGTGATCACAGAAAAATGGCATGTAGGTACTTAAATGCTGCCCTCGTTTGACTTTCACAATGTTGTTATGCTGCCCTCATTGGTCCTGTTGGTAAAGTGTAGTTGGTGTGGACAATATTTATACTTAAATTATTATTATTAGATTCTTTATAATTATAATAAAAACAAAAAATATTAAAATTGTAATAGTAATGATTGATTAATTAATTATTGCTTGCTTGATTGATTTGATTTATTGATTGATTTGTTTTTCTAATAATGGTGAATGCTTGAATTATCCTATTTCCTTGAATGCTGGATGTAATAAGAATGTAGTATTTACTTTATTTTAAAGATACTTTGTGTAACTTTACTCAAATGTTTTAGGGACATTTAATTCGTTGGATAGTGAATGCTACTTTGTTGACGTTTATAATAAAAATTGGCTTTAGTTTAGTTTAGGATGGATTTAGATGATGATGATGCCACTGGCTGTGGTCACGATTATGTATGATAACCATAAAGATTTGGATGACTATTAAAGTTGAGGACCATCTTTGGTGGTGATAATGCCATTCTGCATAGGAGAATGATGATGAGTCTGATGAGGACAAGTTCAAATTATCTGAAGAACATCTAGGAAATGAAATAAATCATCTCAAACTATATAAATTCTCCCTAACCATAACTAACTTAGTGAGCATTTAGCCAAAACATAACTGAAGTTACTCTCCAATTAGACGTTTTCCATCTCTGATTGCTTTTGTATGTAATCATGACATAGTATGTTACAACTTCCATGCATGGTCATTCCTGAGGATGTTTTAGATTAGTATTTAATTATCTAGTTTGTCGCCCTCATTTTTTTATGTCAATGAAATTTTAAACAGAAATACCTATTACTGTATGTTGATGCAGCGTCTATTCTCCTTGTGTGTGTTTATGTTTGTCAAAAAAAAAATTACTTTGATTACCCAACCAATAGTAATGCTAATTTTTCTTTCTGTGATGCTTTATACCTATGTTGCTATCTCTACGCAGTTTTAGGAACAGAGAATAGTCAGCACAAGAGGGCGCTGTCACCAACGATGGTAAGCTCAGGAGCACCAGGGGCTTGCAGTGAATAAGCGAAAATTAAACAGAATCACACTCATTAACAATGCTTAAGCATTGATTGTCATTTCTGATGTGAGAAATTTGAAGAAAATATAAAATTTTAAACATTCTATATAATATTATCCAATCAACTTTCCGATTTCTCACTTCAGAAAAGCCAGTTATAACCGTTTATGTGTAAAACATATTATTATATTCTTAATATGCATAGATATATAAATAGTATATATATTTAATTGTGCATATATAATTGTCTATTTTTATCTATCTATATACTCGTGTTACATTTGAATCTTAGCATGAACGTGAACTTAGTGCTAGTATTTAAATGTAACTGCTGTCTAAATAACTAATTACGCAAAATCCCAGGATATTTATTAAGTTAAAAATGAATTTGAAAAGTCATAATTTCTTTTTTAAATTTGCTTTATAAATTTATACACTCCGTACCACAAAAGTATAGTTTTCCACCTGATGAAAATTACAAAAGTAAATCAAAAGTAATTTTATCATTTTTATTGAAATTATTTTTGAGTTGCTACAAAACCTAAATGGGATTTTGCCTATAACTTCATTAGTGTACTTTTCTTCTCTTTTTTAATCTCATTTAGGAATTTTGATACAACTATCAACAATTCCTAATCTATAACAATTTGCATGGAATCGTTAGCAATGTCTGTGAATATAAGTAGAACTTGGCATGGACTTTCATGTGATGATTTTGTTTTTCTCAAGAAAATCGTTGATAATGAATATAATTTAGAAGATTCCTAATTTGAATTCTAAAAAGATGATATCAAAATCTTACAGATCCTTCTAGCTGAACAGCCTGGACATTGCTCATGCATTATTCATGATCTCTATTAACCTTTGACACATTGTAGATTTCCATTTCAGATCCCAGCCCTTTAATAATTCTCTATAATCCAACATTAATCTTGTATAATTTTGGTGCGATAGAATGCTAATTTCACTAAATATGTATGTAACATTTAGTCTAGACAGTAATATATTTCATTAAGTTATAATCATCTTGGAAACAATTTATCTATGAGACTTTTTCATTATATGAAATTAATGTTAATAAGAACTAATATATGTTAATCAGATGCAAATATATGTTAATGAAATGCACTGAAATTCAGGATTCTGATTGGTGGTGGTATTCTTCATTTCTTTGTTATGTATATTGATGTATACCATCTTAACCATTGCTCTTGTCAAAAAGATGAAATTATCAGCTTTCAATGAGAAGATAAACAAATTCTATTTTGCTGACTTTTTACCACAAAAAATCTATCAATTTAATTATCAGTCATTTAAAGACCTATGCAAAGAATATAGAAATAGTAATATTTATGATATTTATGCATCTGTTATAATATTTTCATGTTCTAATTATAAATTGAAAGCTAATGTGTAAGGATAAAGTAACAAATTAAACTGATTGATTGAATTTTATTTTTCAAGTTATTTAGCTAAACACAGGCAGTATATCTTGAAGAGTATGTATTTCTTGATATTATTTCAAGATCTGTTCTAACCAACTATTTGGCTTTCAGCAAAAAGAAAAATATATTGTGCTCTTTTTTCAATACAAGTCATTGCTTCATTGTGTATGGATAACTAATTAATAACACTTCCTTGACATTTTTTGTACCCAGTTTTTCATAGTGTCCATCTTTAGTGTTCATGTTGTTAACCGTTAATGTTGTCATATTAACGTCCAATGACAGCTTTGTTAACGTTGTCATTAACGTCCAATGGCAGCTTCTCAACCTTAGCTTATGGAATGTTATAATGTTTTTTTCGATATATTAACTAATGCATTGCATTTTGTACGTTTAAATGTTGATAAAGTGTGCTTTATAAATTTTAATGTGTGCATTGTTTACAGTTGTTAGGGACCTGCTCTATAGTTACACTCAAAGTCTCCAACACCAGTTATTATTGTTAATATTATTAAATTTTGACCTAGTAGTCAATTAAAATTCAATTCATTATTTGTAGTTAAATATGCTACCAAAAATGGCTTGCCAATTTATAAATTAACGATAGATTTATAATGATAAATAAATTTCATTGAATGTTTCTAAAATTTTTGTGTCCAACAAATAACATCTTTTCACCTTATTTCCCATCAAACAAGGACTCATCTGGAAATAAATCTACTAATTACTGTGTTCCTAATATCAAATTTTGTACTTTATATGCACTATATAATAATATGCACTAAATAAACCAACTGAAGACTTCCTCATAGTGCAGGTCTCTATGTTCCAGATGTGTGCACATTTTACAATTTTGTTTTAGTGATATGTCTTTCTGATGTTTCTTACAAGGCACCTACTATAAAACCTCAAATTGAAGCCCTGGGCTTCTTCTTTTTTGTTTCGAACTTCGGATGGGCTTCTTTTCGAGGCTACTTTTGCAAAGAAAAGAGGGGAGGCTTCTTTTCAAAATGAATGCTGTAAATTTTGGGAATTAGTACTATAAAACAATAAATAGGGCCACTGTAGCATCAATCTGTATCATGGAGTGTATTAACCGGCATTAAATCACCTACACTACTCCATTTAAACCAAGTGTGTTTTAATTTATTTTGTTTCTTCGAAATTTATGTACAGTGTTTGTACTGTACTATCTCGAAAAGAATCATGTGCTATCTCGAGATGGGCTTCTTTTCGAGGCTAATTTTGCGAACTAAAGAGGGGGCTTCAATTCGAGATGGGCTTCATCTCGAGATTAAGCCCACTGGGCTGCAATTCAAGGTTTTACAGTATTTGTGCTAACGGATATCCAATTGATGATTGGTGTAAGCAGGGAGTTGTTGCAATTTTTCATCATTTTCACGAAAGTACAAATATATACTCTTTTATCAGTATTAAATGATGATATCATAAGGACAACAATCATTGTTATACTATGTACGGTACTGTCTTTTTTATGGAGGTTTTTTAATCTCTTGAAAATGATGAAATAAAGTGGATGACCCCCTAAGGTATTTGCAACTTGTAAAGCATAACCATGTGTCAATAGAAAATGATGAAATGTCTTTAAAAACAATTTGAAAATTCTTTTATGATGTGGCATATAACAATTACACACAATATGCACGGAAAATAAATTGAGGAAAATTACACAAAGATAATACATTAGTTGTGAATCAATTAACTTTAGCAAATATGAACTAAAATTATTTATTGGTAATATTAAAATTTATATAAAGGAGTATAGTATTCTGTTAAATATTCAAATTTAATTGAGAAAGTTGATAACAACATTTCCATTGTCATAAAAGGGAATATTTTTGAATATGTTCGAGTTCGAGATATTATAGAGAGACAGATTTGTAATCTTTGAAACGATTGTGGTCTTGTAAGATGGTTTATGGTGCTTCTGCTCTTGAATGTACCTCACCGATGCAGGTGTTCTTACTGATGCAGGTGTAAATGTTAGCTCAGTTTTGTTCATGTCACTGCTACAGGTGTCTATCACATTATAATGTTATTAACCTGATATGTTATTGTCTTTGCAGAGCGTCCCATGATGAGTCCACAGAACCCAACCCCAATGTATCGTAACCCGTTATCATCGCAGTCAGGACCCGGATCAAAGTCCCCTGCAGATAGCAGTGGTGCTAAGAACTTTGACCACTGGACTTATCGTAGTTTACCAAGAAATATACGCCATTGAAGACTGATTAAGGAAAGGGTTTACTGAGCAAGGACAGATGCGATTTAGATTAATGAAAGATTGATTTGTTAATCATCCAATGAAAAAAGCTGTTATACCAGTTCTGGGCAAACAATTCCATATTTGGATATGGTATGGTGCCGGTCGTTTGGAGATGCAATATTCATGTCCCTGTGAATGGGAACAAACACACAGTACTCATTGTACAAGACTACTGCCAAATTTCTTGTTAGAACTTGCGCTTGCTGCTGCAAAGATAGTTATTTGTGTCTAAGTAATTGGTCAAAATCATGCTTCAAAATGATTGGACAGGATCATGCTTTGACATGATTGGACAGCATCATGCTTTCAACATGATTGGAGAGAATTACTCGCGTCTTATTTTGGAAACATAGATGAGAAAACAAGACATTTGTGGAATTTTTTGGAAGAGATTTTCTTAGATTAGAAAAGAAACCAGATTTGTGATTGGTTATCGGTAGTATTTATTGGTCATGTGACTTTGTGCTTGTATGAGCGGTATTGGTGTTGTTATCCGCTCTGTGCAGTATTGTCATGCGTGGCTTAGGCCAGGATATAATAAGGATATTAACCTTAGATAGATAGAATGGTTTTAGGTAAGAATGGTGTTTAAAATAATTAATAAATTATAATTTATGTACAGGTAGAATACCACTGTTGGTTTTCCTGAATAGAATTAACAATCGTTTGAATGGTTTCAAACAGGATCTTCGTCTCAAACAGGATCTTGTAAGTCCTGACTAGATGAAATTTACAGTAAAAATATATGTGGGTAGAAAACCATACATTACTTTATCATAGATACACATAAAATAACAACGTAATTAATGATTACTGATTAATTAGTGAAATTAACAAAGCATATCAGTATGATAAAAATCTAGCATGCAAATAATATTAATTATGTTTTCTTTATTCATATCCATTTTAAAATATTTTTTTTTTAAATTGTACTCTGAGATATAAAATTCTGTAGCAATTTTTCATTTGGATTTTAGAAAGTGTTGACCATTGTAATATCTACCATGCACTTTTAAACTAACTCATTTGTTTTGTTTTATATGTATACTGTTAATTTTATACTTTATATATAACATTTTTGTTAATAATCTTCAGTAATATTAATTTTCCATCTAAATATTTGCATTTTTCAAATCAAATTCTTTCATTTTCAAATTTAAGAATTGTAAATTTGATTTTTATTTCCTAAATGTCAACTTTTAGAACGTGCTTGGGTCTTAAAATTTGTGTGTTTGCGTCTTTCACCTTTTTTTACAATTTATTTTTTATTCTTGTGGTAGGGTAAATATTTTTTATTATGTTATAATGTTTTACTTTCATTATGCTCAGAACAAATAAATTGCACTTGCAGCATCAAAGTCAAATGATGGATCAAAAAGTGGGATAAATTTCTACAACACCCTGGCAACAATGATAAAAACATGTTGGTTATAACGTTCTACATATCATATGTAAATTATTCAAAATAAGTAGCAGAATCTGTGACATATTTAACTAAGATTCTGTCTTTTAATGTATTATAAAAAAAATGAGACGTTGTTAAAAGTTGTACATACTAATAAACATAGCATACACTAATTTTGAATCAGAGCTGTTGATGTCAGCTACTGTGTCATGTGACTGTTCCGTGTTAAGAATTCCCACCCAGGTGGTAACCATTTTATATTACCATAGCAACATAGCAAATCTCAGGAAGAGATATATTCCAGTAGTTTAGTTCCAGAGTAATTTTAGAAGCATTCCCGGTCTTTTGCACATAATTCCACTTTACATTAGGTATTCCTAAGTAACATTCAGATGTTTCATGGTTTTCTATTTATTATTCATATTATAAGTATGACATCATTGAACAGATTTTAATCATAACTGCAGGATTTTCGTTTTCATCCCATCGAGTCACCCAAAGTGGTGGGGCTGTTAACAGATCTTTGTTGTAAAGTCCAATGTTAATTCACATAAATATTTGATTCATTGCTGTTGCTATTTTATTATCTTTAGTGCATGAGCTGCAAAAATGTTGACTGTCAGTGTTGGGTATTGTTTGAACTGTTGTAGTGTACATACACAAAAGTGCACTCAATCTTATAACATTAACATTAGGACAGTGTTAAGATTTTTTGGGGGGTGGGGTGGAACGGTGGTTGTGCAAATGAACAGTGTTGAGTATGCGAAAAATTGTACAGTCACTTTTACTATGCCAAATATAATTTCTTTACATATAATTATGATCTTTTGTCTTTTTGTTATTGTGGTTTTTGGTGGTAGATGTCCTCTGAATAAGTTTGTGCCCCTTGGTGGTCCTCCAATGAAAGCTGGTTGAGCAAACAAAAATGCACTTCATTACTTAATTGTCACCTCATATCAACTGATTTCATAGCTAGCATTCCCCCCTCCCCCTCTCTTTCTCCATCCCCAGTGTCCATAATCCTGTGTATGGAGGAATCAACCTTCAGTCATTTATCAAGGTTGAATAAACATCATAAGCAAAGTGCCAGCCCTGGCTAGACAGCTGACATAGGGCCAGTGGTGTTGCCAGCTGGGGGGTGGGGGGGGGAGACTCGGGACCAGAACGAACTTGGACCAAGGATCTAGTCAGGCCCTTGGTTAAGACCCTCCTATCAGACATTTTAGTCCCCTTTTCAGCACATTTCTGGAGCCACCGCTGCATAAGTGGAAAACAATTTGTTCCTGTGTAATAGGAATGTCCTGAGTGCAACAACAACCTTTATTTGTTTTATTAAATATCTTACCACTTTACAAGTACAGTACAAAAATATATACTGTATAAATAATATGAAAACAACCAAAAGGGAAGTACACAGAAAAATTGTTTGATGATAGTCATTGAAACCCATTAACAAGATGTATTTCAAGGTAGTTGTACAGCAGCCAACCTGAAAATGATCTACAAGTTAGTTCTGTTTTTGTTTTGATACATAATGAGTGCTGAACATACCATTGATTGTTATTATATCACTTGTGTTTTAAAAATAAATAGAAAAACAATATGCTATAAAACAAGGACCCAACAAGTCCTATAGCTATCTATTTTCAACTATCCAGGCAGGTTTCTCTTAATCTCATCAATTTTATCACCAATAATAGCCTGCATGAGAATTGTAGCCCTTGCCTATTGCTGTTCTTGGAAAGAATAGGGGATTGTCTCCCAATTTAGGCCCAAAGACCAAGCCTTCACCACTACTCAAGAAAGGTTCACTCATTGAAGTAAACAAGATAATGAGGATATTACTTATTGCATGTTTTCAACTATATGTCTTATTATAATTATTGAATATCAGCAATCCACAGGGCTAGCTCATTGATATTCAGAAGACACACATTTGCATAATGAAACCAGATGGGCTGGTGGCCTTGCTAGCTAGAATGGGTTGGGGATTAATGGCCTAGCACTTGGAAGAAGGTGTTGAGACTGTCTGATGTGCTGTCAAGGGCAACCAGTAGAAGGCTTAAGGTGTGTATACTGCAATTGTCTGTTGACCCAATTCTTTGTAATGATTAATTGTCCTGAGGTCAATAGGAACCACAACACAATTATTATTGTTGTTAGTTTGGTTAGGTTGTAAGTGTAAGTCTCTATTGTACATTATGGTTGCATGATTAAAACAGAAAGTAAGGTTTACTATATTTCAGTTTAAAACAAAGTAACACCTCAAAATTTTGTAAATAGAATTTCCATGGGGATATATTCCATGCTGAAAGGGGGTCCATGGCAAAGAGGTCCCAGAAGTAAATCCCTATTGGGGTTTGTGGGAAGAGATTTTATGGTCTAGGATGGACCACAATTGTGCTTTTAGATCACATTATGCATTAGCAAACACGAATTTCTTTGAACCTGAAAATTAACGTCTTTAGTCCAACTTTTCTCCATGGTCCAATGACCTTATTGTGGCATTTTCCATGATGGGTGGGTCCATGCTTACATGGATGTATTATAGTGATATATATCAGACAGGGAATCTCCCACTGGTTTTTATTGTACAATTTTTTTCTGTTTACAAATTTTTTAACATGCAGGCTGCTATGTACATTTGACCCATATACTTTATTCCACATACCTTTAATTAATCTCAAAAACAAATTATATCTTATGTTTAGTATATGCCATTTATGCATAAACTGCCAGCCAAGATTTTGATCCAGTAAAGGAATGCAAGTGCTTTGTTTTCAGTTAGTATATTTGATGTGCCACACTTGTCCATTGGCAATCTTCGTGTAAATAATAATGCAACTCACAATGTATTTCATCTTTTTGTATTATTTATTAAATCATTCAAAAGTATAAAAAAAACATGCATCAGCATTATTGTTAGAGGGCAGTCTTCAAAAGAACATCCCTCACCAATGCATCATGGGTTGCATCTGTGTTTTCAGACCATTGCAATATCTACACTACTAAATTACTCTAGTGCACTTAAAATATATCAACAGTGCTTTAATAGTAAATTTATCTTGGAAGTGAAAAATACACCCTCATATATAAGTCTATATTAATATACTCCTGTCAACCTAAATTAATAGCATTATACACAAACATTTTTCCCTAGCACTTGTAACTTGGTGGTATACTTGTCCCCTCATAAACGCTAGGTTTATTTTCACCTATGGTTATAGTTATGAGACGAGCCTTGCAGCATATCATAGTCTGTTATAACAGACTGTAACCACTTTGCATGCATTGAAACGTAGAGATTACTGTACTATCCCCAAATCTAATCCCTAATTATGTGGCTGACATGGGTCTGCGAGAGTCCAGCCTGAATTTAATACTGTTGGATCAACGAATATTTTTAAAAATCTAATTTAAAATCCACAAAATATGTATATTAAAGTTTAAATGATCACAAAACTGATATGGAAAAGGATTTTGCGAATAAAAGTGTTTAACATACATTGACAAAAATGGTTATTCACAGTCAGTGCTTTTATAAGTAAAAATTCTCATGCAGTAGGTTTCTTTTATGCAGCATTATGCAACATAGTACTTTCAAACAATTTGTTCATTCAGTGTAAAATCGTTGCAACTATGTAGATTTAAAATGCAGTTATATTTCCTGTAAAGTTTGACTTTCCAAAAACTTCAAAATGCACAATTCAATTTATTTTTTTTTTTTGTATTTTTAATTGTTGCTCCATCTGGAAACTTTCCAAACATCAGAATAATATAGTTAAAATTTACATTTATTTCCAGTACAGAAGACTCATTCAACCTCAATACCACACAAATGTGTACAAATGAGGCATGTCGTGGCGAAATGTTTAAGTTGTCGCACAGGCCAGTATTGAGTAAATGAGCTTTAAAATATGGGAGCTCAAAAAATAGCCTAAAAATCCAAATTTGTTTTTCACTGTAGATCAACAGTTTAATGTCTTATCATGTCCCAAAGTATTAGTTCTGGAGTGGTTAACAAATTGTTTATTTTTCATAGTTCATTCTATTAAACAATGTGTGCACAAAGAACTTTGAAAGGCAATTACTCAAAATCATGTTTATCTAGCCTCTAAGAGTACTGTATTTTCACTTTCCAATAACTGTGGCTTGAAATGTACAATTTCAATGAATGACCCCCTCATTTTAAAGATCACATAATCAGGTATCTGAAAATACCAATAACTTGAATTTCAATTAAAAACTTAACCATTTTGCCACAACATGCCTCAAATGATGTATAAAAGTAGAGGCACTTTAGGTTAACACCACTTTCTCATTTTTAACCCTCCCCTAACCATTTTAGGACCCCTTTTACTTCCAAAAGTGAAGCCCTGTCCAGACTATCCAATTTTATTTGACAAAAACGAGTGACATGCCTAAATATGGTCATGATGACATCACATCATGACCATACATAGGCACATCATGACTATATATGGTCATGATGACATCACAACATGACCATATATAGGCACATCATGACTATATATGGGCATGCAACAGTTTTTTTGTCAAAGAAAATATGATAGTGTGAACAGAGATTGATTAGTTTATTTTTTAGGAAGTTGGGCAAAGGATAACCAATGAACTTATCACTGTGTAATAACGTCAATCTCTTTGGCTTCAAGACAATTGAATATGAAGCTCTCATTCTGAGGCTTAAAGGACCGGGACAGATGCAGGGGGTGCAGATGGTGCAATTCCACACCCTCCCCCCCCCAAATTGTATTAACAAAAATAATTGTTTTATTGTATTATTGATATGAATTATCGGTAAGGTTTTTAAGGTGAGAGTGCAATTTCCAGGACCCCAGAGGTCCTTATTCTCAAAATCTTCACACCTCACCCCCCCCCCCCAACCATGGTTGGGCTAATGTGGTGTGAACTCTCACGCACCACCTAATCCTGCATCTACCCCAGAAGGAAGTGAGAAAAATCCAGGATTTGAACCCAGGACCATGGTACTGGAAGATGAATACCTTAATCACTAAGCTATATCACCAATTTTTGATGCGTGTTAAACCCAAAAGAACAGGCACAATCCTTTTTGTAAAAAAAACATTTTTTGGCCACAATACATACACACAGAAACCACATCTTCACGTATAACATACCTTATTGCAATGTAATACCTGGATACCTTTACAAATGATTTACACATAATTAATTTCAGTAAAAATATATATAATAATAATAAATATTCACATAACATCTTCTTGTTTCAATTTTCAATATCATGATTCATAGATTGTAAAGATTATTCATAATTCGGTGTTCAATAAAATTTAACCACTTCAAATGAAATAACTGTACTACACTCTAAAGTAGCCTTATAACCAAAAATACCTGGATTAACACCCTTGAATAACACCTTTAACTACTAGTGGGTAACTGAAATGTAACTAAAACCTGGCTTAAACTATCCTTTAAAACTTTTGAAAGGAGTAAGAGATTTTCTTTTAATAAACAAACGTAGTATCACAATTTGGCAGCAATTAAATGGATAATATAAATTTTTCTTTTCACTGTGGTAGTAGGATATGTACAGGAGTGGTCACCTGTACAATATAGGCATATCATGACTATATATAGGCATATCATGACTATATATGGGGATACATAAGTTTTTTTTCAAGGAAACTTTGATAATCTGGAAAGAGCTTTATGAAAAATGTAGTGTGTGGACATTAGGATATTTTCCCTCCAACAAACTGATGCATATGTTTTGTATTTTTGTCAAAATGATGAAAAACAATTGATGACATGTAAGATGAATAGTAAATAAGGCATGATTTGTACTCATATTTTATTCTAGAAGTTTTAACTGTTAGAATTAGTATTAGCCACTTTCACAAAAGTTTCTCCTATCGTCGTCCTCTGCTGTTGAACGGTCAATCATTTCATCACTTCTTGACAGTTCATTTTGATTTTGCTCTATCTTTTCTTTACTCTGTTTAACCTCCAAGTTGTTGCTTGATTGTACTGTTGGTGGTAGGTACGTGGATATCTTGTAAAATGTCTTCAGCATTCTGTTCCGACACGTGTCTAATAGGCTATCAACATCATCTTCTGTCATTCCCTTTGTGGGTAATGGCTCCATCACTCTCGCCGTAATCTTCACTATAAAAGTAGAAATACATTTTTAAAAAACATTTATATGTTGAATAATATACACATTTTATCTTGCATTAATCAGCATTTGGAAGTGATCTAACATGAATGTTAATTTCAAAAAGCATTTATGTTAAATTAATGTACCACCAACACACGACACAGACGTTAAATCTTGCAGTTAATGGTCGTTTGCGTGTGATCTTGCATAAACGTAAAGCCACTCTAGTACTGCATTATGCTAATGTAGAGAATGGGTAACCAATTATTTATATAACTAAGAGGTTCCCCTTACAGTATTAACATACTGTATTAATATCTATAAGTGAATCCAAGGTTCTCTCAAGTACTATCATTTGAGATCGCCAGACATCGCTCCTCAACCTTTTAGCTACAAAATCATGTGCGTAGGTGTAAAGTTCATTCACTAATTTTCATTAGCTTAGGGTGTCAACCGAGTATCATACAAGCACTAATACTACAATATTAATGAGAGCTCCTAAAACATGTATCATTTTAATATCAATGGATGTCTGATATAGCTTAGCTGTTCAAAATTCATGTAAACAATTAATCGAGCAGGTGGTGGCAATTAGCTTACCTTTATCAAATATGCGAAGCTGAGTATTGTACTGATGTTTATAGTATGAAAAGACAACTGGAACTATTGGAACCTGAAATTTCATCCACACAATAACAAAATTAAAATAGATATAATCATTAACAAATATTTGATTAATGCATGCCTAATTTAATAAAATTAAATGTAAAATGTGCAGGATAAATTAAAAAATTAAATAAAAAATTGCATTGTGATTGTTCATAGCCCTAAAAATCTACTCAATAAAAAATGTTAAATAGATACAACCATTAAATTAATGTATTCTTTAATGTTTACTTTGTTTAATAAGATAAATTGTAAAATGTGCAGGATGAATTAAACAATTTATATTGTGGATGATCAAACAATTTCAAATATTATAATTTACTGTGCGATTGTCCATGGCCCTAAAATCTAATGCTTAAGCTTTCTAATTCTAATTCATGTACTGGATTCTTTATAGTGTACATGAGCCAATTGCGTACACTGGCCCAATGTTTTATAGTCCTTATCCAAGAAGAATTGTTCCACCTCCAGAACCATAGTTTGTATGATGTAGTAGCATTTACTTAGCTTTAGATGTACACATTATTATTCCCTTGTAATATCATTTATTATATTATTATCATTATTAATGTTCAATGATAATTTGTCACCTGAGCTTGTATGGCCATGTGGAATGCCCCTTTCTTGAATGGCAGCATGTCAATCTGGTTATTTCCCGACCTTGTTCCTTCAGGATACATCCAAATTTTTACCTGAAAGTAAAAAGGAAAATATTATATATTAGCAATAATTATTAATTTATATATTTATTTATTATATATTTAATTGTTTAATTTTCGAAAGGGCACCACAGTTGTAAAGCTGTGCTTGTTTGTATTTGCCCTAATCCTGAATTTTGAATTGTATTACGTTATGTCGATTTGGGATAAATATTTTCAATCGAAAGTGGAATATGCCCATTCAATCAAGGAAGTTATATCACTGGGTTTTTAACCAATGGGGCTGTAAACCAATGGGGCTCTAGGGTATATATTGAAAGGGAAAGGTTTTTAAAGTGGGGGGGGGAGGGTCTTATACTTTTTCCTGGTGTGGTCTGAAAGGGATCAAGATAAAAAAGCTAGGTACATTATTGGCGGTAGTCTAGATGGCAAATGTACCCAATTTTAGTCCACTACAAAGATATTCCAGTAGAAATTATTATATTCATGGAATTAAATATTTAGTCTGATGGGTCTTGGCAAACAAGGGGGTTAAGGCCCCCTACCTATACTGGTTCTCTTAATTCTGTGACCAAAACACAATACAAAATACATACATATACAATACTGTAGTAAGTTCTTTGCAAACATTGAAATATTGGTAAATGAAGCAATAAATTAAATTCTATAGAAATAAACTTTTTCCGGGTAATTTTTTTGGAACCCATTCAGGATTAAACACAAAAAGCAGGTTATGCAATACGAAAAAGAACATGAACAAAATATTTGACATTGTTCAAAAACTAAGCACACAAATTAGAAAGATATTAAAAATTAATAATAATTAGATATTGTTTTAGCTTAATATTCACAATTATAGTCTGTTCTAGAAAGAGTATCAAATACAAATAATATATTACTACAACCAGCCCACTAAAATTGTGGATAGACGCTTATAAGATCTAGGATGTCATTTATATCACACAATTAAAATATACAACTACTAAACACATGCATGGGGGTTCAAAAATGACATGGCCAGGTGACATATTTTTTTGTTCCTTCTAATAGCAAATCATATTTTTAGAAATATTTTCAGATGGTGGTTAAAAATTGTTTTCTCATTTATCAAAATGGTTAGAAGCTGCAAAATGCATCTAGGTGGAAAATTTAAATTTAAATTAAATTTCACTAACAAATAAAAAGAATGGTGTGCAAGATAAAAAGTAATAGAGAGGGCAGGCACTCAAGATCCTTGTTTTGATGTTAACAGTTGAGTATTCAGATTGATCAACAGTTTGTATTTATTAATAGCATGCTCTCGTTTAGGTGAGTCTGCTTAGCTGGTAATATCTGACCAATGTACATACAGTACTTGTCAATAAAAATTGAATACAAAACTAACAAAAATTAGTATCCTTTATACTGTGAGCTGTTCTCAGTGTAAGTAATTTTTATCATTATTTTATGCAGAATTTAATACGGTAGTAAGGTTGGCGGCCAATTATTTCGTTATAAATATTGAATACTGAACCTTGTGTTTTATGCATGTTCACATTTTGTGTTTTAATAACCTAACCAGATTCTCTTATAATGTGGATGCAATTAATAGCCAAGTGAACTGCATCAAAACATACTTCTTAATAATTTAAATACATTGAACATTAAATATTTATGGGAGTTTTGATGTTCACAATACACACTTTGTTCTTTCAAAGTGTGCCATGGTTTGCAAAGTGTGCATCCAAATAAATAAATAAATACAAAATGTGCAGTTAAGTTTTATTTTTATTCTGTGGGGTGCAATCCCTCGAAAAATTTTGTGTCTCTCAATACTCAAATATTTTTTAAAATCCTCTCAGATGTCTTCATTTATAAACCTAACCTCACTTTCACATGATGACCCACCATATCCCATCCATTTGCCATGTTTTAATACCTTATACACCACTAGTGATGAAGTACAGTAGATTTAATGTTACTATTTTAGCAAGTAGCAATGTAAGGGGTTTAAGGCGAAGTCATGTTCCCCCTGGAAAATTACCAGACACATAAAATACTATTTTCTATATCATGTGCAATAATTTGTATATATTTAAGTCGCTTTAAATTAAAAATAAAAACAAATTTGCTTGGCTAAATAACAGGTACATAAATAACAATTCTGTTCATAGAACTTTAAATCTGCTAGGTGATCAATATAAACTTTTATAGTAAAAATTGGCGAAAACTGAATTGGATTTGATCTTTATAGCAAGTTTATTGAGGGTTTTCCAGATGCTAAAATCTAACTAGGATACCAGCTATTGTTGCAAACATTGAACAATCAGATTATAGCAGTGCAGTTACAAACAAATGTAAACTTCATCCAAATTCATTGCTAGGAATTCGTAACCATTTTGTATCTAGTTACCCAGGGCGGAATGAATTCACTCCCTCTCTGGTTAATCCAGTTATATTTGGAATCAGCAAACATTAACAATCAGATTATAATAGTGAAATTACAACACAAATGTAAACAATTAAAATCAACAGACCACAAGCCAACCAATACGCAGCAAGTAGGAAATTCAGGAACGTGTCCAACAATAATACAAGAACAAACAGTACATTGATAGAATTGTATACATCGTCTAGTCAAAGTCATATAACAGTACAAATTGCAGCCTAATGTGTTCACACCACAGAGTTCATAGTGATGGAGCATTACAGTTCCTAATTGTTTATGTCCATATGGGCAACATTATTTGTGACATTCAACACTTTTGAATATAATGAGCCAATTTCGATAGGATGGAAAGTATGGTTTTCATTCTCATAGTGTGATTCCAAAACATGATATAAAATTGAGTTTAGAAGAATGTATAAAATCATTCTTTATTAAAGAAAACACAATAAAAGAATGTCACAAAAAACCCAGGCTATGGCTTAATTAGGTAGATACAGGGTAGAGGCAGAACACAGACAAAAAAAAAAAAAATCAATTACAAATAAAGACAATTCATCCACTCAGGCAAGTGTCTGCCGTTCTAGATAACGTAGCTGCTGGTCAATGCCAGTTTGCTAATTTGCTTTTTAGACTTTTTACATCGCTTATTACTTAATTTTAAAATATTATTTAGTCTCGCTTCATTATCTTTAGAAAATAATCCCCTAGAACCCAAGGCCAGGCAAAACAATGTGCATTTATAAACTTTATCTTTGATATCGTTGACGATGTCGTCATATTTGCTACATTTATAATTATGTGCCGTGGTTATATTTGGTTCTAGAGGCACCGTCAATTCAATTATCTTGGTTGCCTTGTTAGATTCTGGCTTAAAGGCTTGTACATAATATATAAGGGGGAATTGATCCACCAGCTACAGAAAGGCAAGGTAGGTCTGCATATACAGTACCTTTACTGACTTTCTGAGGTCTTTAATAGATTTGACAATAAATTTTAATATTGAATCTTGTCGCCATGTATAACGACTGTTACAAATCTTACAATTACCTGTAGTTGACTTTCCCCATTTCTTTAAGTTATATCGTGTTGGCAATAAATCAATTAAGGCTTGTGTGGAAAATTTGAAGACGGCCTTCTGGGCAAGCTATAGATGATAGATTTTCATGTAATATCTATATGAGCAAGTTTCAGAAGTTCACCCTGCTGGACTAGGGGTTGAAGGTAATCTGTCCAGAGCTTGTCTCTTTTGTCATACAACATAGATTTAATATGTTGCTTGACTGTTGACCAACCAGGGGAGTCCCCAGCTCCAGCAATTGCGGATGAGTAGATATTCTTCCATCATTGCCTCGATCCATTTCTTGCCATCTTTCTAACCCATGATTCTTCACGTTCCAATTTACATTTCAGTGCATGAATTACTCGACAGTCAGCCTTCATCATACATCTAGAATAAGCTAGGCAATGTGACTCCAAGTAAATATCAGAAAGAGTGAGTATTCCAAAACCTTTAGGGCTATGGATAAAAGCAGGAGTCGCACCTGTGATGGAAATACCGAGTCATCCTTTAATTGTATTTGTATGGATATGGTCTAATGTCTGAAGCTGACTGTCGGTCAATTCATGCACTGTAAGTAGATATCTTAAAGAAGGGATGCCGTATTGAACGTTTGTATTCTTTACATATTAAGCTTTTGTCGATGTTACTTTCATATTAGATATGGTATATTTTATGTAGTCAAATATATCTTTACTTTTTCCTTTATAATAAATTATAGTAACCAGAAACTTTTCAGGAGCGTCCTTTAAAGTTTTGAGTTCATGTTCGCCAAGTTGAAACTTACATTCCTGGGGTTTCCTGCTGCGTACTGATATATTTTTACATTTTACAGGTTTTAATGCTAATCATTAATTTTATTCATAAAATTCTAGTGCGTTCGTTTATTACTTGTCATCAGACAAAAATCATCTGCAAAGGGTAATGTAATGAATCGTTGGTCTCCCATATTATAACCATATAACATTTCATTTTCTTTTAAGAATTGGATTATAGGGTCAAAAACGGTTAAAAAGACGATCGGAGAAAGTGGGTCTCCTTGGAACACAAATTTGATTTGTGTCGCGTGATTAGAGATCTAATGATCATTTCATGCAAACATGGGTTAGACTGTACTTTTAATGGCAGCTTTCCATTCTGCACGATTCTGTGCAAGTTCTTTTTTCAATGCCCTTTGCACGAAGGTCATCTCTAATCATGTGAGCTCAGGTTTTGCAGGGTCTACCACGTCCACTGTTACCATTAACCACAAATGTAGTCAAATTTATATCAAAGATGGTAAGTTTATTCCACAGGGAAGGGGTAAAAGAAAAACGGAGGAAGTTTTTTTGTACATTACTCCACCCAAGAGTATAAATGGTAGGATTTCAATTAATTTGAACCAAACTGGTAATTTCTGAACATTCATTCATGCTTGTGCAGAAATACTCCTAGTGGAGCAGAAGTATGCTAGTTGTGTTTAGTATCAAATTACAAGATTTACAAAAGCGCAGACTCTGCTATTGTGAATTATACAATTTTAAACCATGGAGGTAACCTAGGCCTGTGCTTCGTAGCTAATCACAGCATGACGAAGACACCCAGAAGATTAAATGTTGGCTCCTAACCAATATGACATGAACACATATAAATCCGCAAATAAAAGCATAGAAAAGGAAGTAATAGATTGTACAAGAATGATTCATCTATTAAAAGATTGCAATAAAAGCAAGGTATAATCAAAGTATGGGCAGAAAAAGCAAATAGTTTAAGAGTATTAGGAAAAAATCCAAGCAATTAAATTAAAAAAAAAAAACAATCAAAAACAGACGTAGAAACGATACGATTCTTGAAAGCAACGCCTTGTAATCAATCATCTTGAGTTAATAAATCACAAACATACATTTCCTGAATTTTTATTCAATACACATAATTAAAAAATAGAGCAGGGAACGTAACAAAAATAACTCAATGCAACTTTTAGCTTTAGAAGTGTTTCAACCAACTTACATTTCAGGAAATCTTCTTCAGAATAGCAATCTGTTGTAAATGATTATGATCAAATTGTCTGTATTTCTAGCCATTTCCAGTAACATTGCATACCAAAGCAAAGAAATATTATGATTCTAAAATTGTATCTCAGAAAGAATGTATATATTCATTGAAGACGGTGTTCAGGAATAAAATCCTTGCTATGATAATTATTACATATTTAGTTAATTATTAATAATAATAATAATAGTAATAGAAGGATTTATATAGCACAAATAAACAAGGTTTCTGTGCGCTTGACAAAAAAAAATTGGTTTTTTTTTTTAATTTTGAAAAGATTTAATAAAATTTAATATTAAAAAATATAGTAATATTATTATTATTTAATATTTAATAATATATAATATTACTACAAATAACTTTATTGTTAATATTTTTGAAAGGATTAATAATTTATTAGAGTTACTGATTCTGCTCAAACTACTCTATTTGAGTTTATTAATCAACTAAGAATTAGCTCTACCCCCATTTCTTGAACTTATATTCATTATTCACAAATACAGGGTAAGTCAACACTAAGAAGTTTCTTAAGCTCTGTTTAAACTATCACATTTTATGTAACAAAAACATCTGACATGTGTAAATTATAGTCATGATGACATCACATCATGACCATATATAGGCACATCATGACTATATATGGGCATACAACAAAATTTGATAATCTGGACAGAACTTTACTCTAAAGTTTATTTTGAGTGATTCATTTTTTGACACTACCATGAACAATTTCATTAAATGTGTATAACATAGCTTCTCAATGAATAGACATTCCTTTGAATTAATGGGTTCTCATTTCTCAACATATCAAAGCAGGGTTGGCTTTTAAATGTTATAATACATTAATATATGATAGACTGTGAAATTCCAAAATAAAATTACTTGAATCAAACCCAAAATTCCATTCATGTACTATAGTTTAACATTCTTTGGACACTCCTTTAAACTACTGGAATTATAGAACTTCTTTCCTACAAATATATAACTTAATTTAAAACAAACAGCATTTATTCCACTATTTTTCTTGAAGATGAATAGTATATGAAGTATTCTCATTATTATAATTATTATAATTACCATTATTATTATTATTAACTATTATTATTATTAGTATTACTATAATTATTACAGTACAGTATCACTATTTACTAATATAATTAGCAAAACTTACATCATGATATTTCAGGAGCTTTACACATCTGGCTACATTCTTGCGTGCTTCTTCCGGGTCTCGGCGTCGGTTCACAAACACGGCTCCAGCCAAAGTGCTAGCTATACCGAATGTAAAGGCGTACTGTAGAGATTTCTTTGCCACAATCGTGCATCGGGGTGGCCAGAATGCTGCGGAGGCTGTGAGAACATTTAAAAAACTGATTATCAGGGTAGATAAGAAAAGAAATTGCTTCATATACAGCTCCTTGTTGCATTTCAGAGTATAGAAATACACCAGGCTGCAGTTCATACTGTAAGTAAGTTGATATAATTGTTGACTGATATATAATTAATTAGTTTACCTGCAATATCCATTGTATCCTGGTGGTTGCTTACAACAACACACGCTTTGTCCGTCTCAAGTACACCACCATTTTCAACATTGACATCAATCCCAAACATCCAGTGTGTACGAAAAAAATCAACAAAAATACGCCAAAACCTAAAGGAGAAAAATTTAATAAATATTCACATTATTTATTATTTATTTAGGCACACAACACATGCACCAAGGATTGCCCAGTAGCAAATATATCACTGTCCTACTTGTAGGTGACATTTTTTTACACAAGACAAACATACACACACAATGCTTCACACAAACCAAATCTTAATATGAGGTTTAGGGAGTGAATTTGTATTGGTAGTGAAAAAACCCAGAATTGAACCCAGAATGCTGGATACATGAAGTCCCACAGAGTAGAACTGCTTTAATGATAGTACTTAATAAAAGAAATGGAATAGAAACCAGCATTATATTAGAAAATAGGCAAGAGTATGTACTGATACAAATCTTTGAAATGGTAGTGGCTGGCATAGACTTTGTATCATCAGTGTCTTAACCTTAATGAGTTGAGATATTCGTTAGGTATGATCTCAGTTTTCAGAATACCAGTATATTTTAGCAGAAAAAAATTGAGATATTGGTAGATTTAGATCAGTAGGAATGAGGCTGCATTTTTACTTTGTTTTAACTTTAAACATTATTTGCAAGCTGAATATATTTGCTGGTGCCCAGCAAATATTCTTGGATCTGTCAGTGGTTCATTCTTCACCTTAATTTCTTCCTAATCTGAAGGAATCATAATATATGTACACATCTAAAATGTTATTTTATTAAAGCTGTGCACTCAAAATAAATTTAAATACTTGCCAAATAAATGTATCACTATCAGTTGTAAACATAAACTCATCTAGACTAGGCCTACTTACTTCTATTTCTAACATTGCTCAATGTTGAGATGAAAAAAATCTATTTAGAAAAATGGCTTAATTATTTTTTGAAGTATTTTTGATCCGTTAACGGCAATATCATTTGTATTTAACTCTGTATCGTCCCTATCTTGGCTAGACTGATGAAATGGAAGGGAGGGATTATATTATTTATCTGGTGCGACCTTGACACGCTTACTGCTTAATGGTCTCCTTCTTAATAAATGAAGGTACAACACATCAATCACAATAGCAAACATAGATATTTTAGTCTGTGTAGGACGGGGCGCTTGCTACAATTACAGTAATCTTAGTGTTAAGCTGGCCCATGCAAAACAAAGAACTGATCAGGCGGTATGTAGGCTGTCATTCTCGTAAATCATCGTAGTCTTAGCGTACTTACCTCATGTTAGACTGGTCTCCGGGGTTTGGTAAAGATGCAATTGCAACGAAAACAGCAATGTATCCATGCCAGAAAAGTAGTAAAATGTTTTTCACGTAAAACTTAAAAGTACTTGAAACAAAACAAAAAGATACTATGATTAAAATTAAGCAAGCCAACACGGACAAAATCTGATAGAAATCCATGATTCTACTATATTCCTAGCCTAGGCCTACCCAACCGTAGGCCTCGTACAAACTTGTCAACAGCAGCAACACAAAACACACCCACTTCAGTTGAGCTCGAGTGATGAGTCGGATCATCACAATACGCTTCAGTGATTTCACATACAACATTAAACAAACGCCCTCTCCAGACAAACAAAAGGTCGTCAAGGCCATTGATTGGCCAATCAGCGGACGGACTAGGTGAATTTATTGAAACTTTATTTTTAGTAGTTTATTTCAATTATGATCGGTTAAAATTTTTATAATAATAATAATTTTGTGTATTGTAAATTTTTTATAGTAATTTATTTCAATTCAACTTATTGGATTTATAGGATTGATTATTATTTTCAATAAATTTTATAAAAGGTAATTACTGTACAGTATACTGTATAAAAAATATAATTTAGTCAATCATCATCACTTTTTTGTTTTCTTGTATGTGACTTTTCTGTTAGTCTCATATTCTAATTGCACAAAGGCACTATATTTTCCACTAAATTAATAAAATAAAATATGCTTGAAATGCTAATAGTCTTTTAGAAGCCTGGTGCTTAGTACTGTATGATTTTCTGTGCATTCTTGTTTAACTTGTGGAGTTTATTTTTATTATTTATTTTACCTGGTTTTTTTCTAGACCTGTTGTTTAGGGGTCTTTTGTTTGGTATGACATTGTATTCAATAATATATTAGCTTTTCAAATATGTTATTTGCGCATTTTACTTGGTAGAGCCTATCTTTTGTGACACACTCAACAGATACCTCTATTTTTTTGTAACTTTTTGTAATTCAGTATTAACATTTTTGTTAATATTTCGAATGAATTTAGTAAAAGAAAATAACAACTGCAGAACACAAATAAAACCAAAAACTTGTTCTCTATTAATCACATTTATTTAAATATTACCATTATGACACTTATGTAAAACTAAATGTTTTAAAACAAATAAATACTGATCGTTGGCATGTGCTTTATGTAGCACTTTCAGATAACCTCTGAAATCCAAAATCAAAAAAGCAAGTTAATCCAGCTAACTGAACTATCAAGTTACATCCAGATGAATGTGATAACTGGATTACTGTAGTCCAGTGAAGGTGTCATGATTAACTCTATAATACAGAGATATTCCAGTTGATAAGTCTGGTCATTAAGTAGAGATTATACAGAAAAAACCCTGTTCACATTGAACTTAAATTCAGCTAACTGGACTAACTTTGATTTGGACTATAAAATTATACCCAGATGAAGATGAAGATTAATTAAGTAGAATAAATTTGGTGCAAACATGATTCGCATCTTATGCAGTATTCTAACCTTTTTAAAATATGGATATAATGTGCATCGCACAAGGAAATGGCCAGCGTCATGTTCAAAATAATCTTACGATTCATTTCTGAAATTAAAATACTATCACAATACTATGCTAGGCTGACTACAACAACACAACAACTACTAAAGATTACTAAACAATAATAACAGGCAAAATTTGCATACTGTATGAAAATTAATTAAAATTGTGCGTTAAGAATTGCATATTATTATTATTATTATTAATATCATGGCAGATGGGATAATACTGATACAAACTAATTACAAATTTAAAAAACAGTGAATTGGAACATATTATTTATTCTCCATAATTTGAGTACCATTAGCTATAATAGCTATATGAAATCAGATACTGTTGAATGTAGTAGGATTTGCCAAACTTCGGAATATTCCATTATATTGCACATCATCACTCAGTACCCGTGTAATTAAAATTAATAGTAGCATATACATAATACTGGTATCAAACATTAATTAATTAATTAATTATTCAATTAATAATAATGTCTAGCATGAAAAAAATCCAACACTAGCCAGGTTCAAACCCTTTTTTTGGTGGGGGTGGGAGAGATTACCAAAGAATTGTTAGGGAAATTATCAGAAACCGGTGTCTAATAGAAATGTTAGCCTACTTGAGTTAAGTTTGGATAAGTTTTGATTTAATGTCTTTTGGTCAGTGTACTATGTTTTTAGAAAATTTTATAATGTATATATAATAGTCTAACATATAATAATACAGAATATATAATCATACTATTACTAACTAGACTACATATATATATATACGATATATATATATATATATATATATACGATATATATACGATATATATGTATACAAAGTAAGCAATATCGGATACCATTTTTTGGTCGAACAGAGACAGTAAATCTTGCGTCCAAAACATGATTTTATAGTTTTTAAATCCCAATACTGTTATTGAAAAAATAGCTTATCTTTGAATTCCAAATTCAATTTTTATACACGTATGTTTAGGTTGAATTCTATAGGTCATATCACCGCTAGATTTTGATTCAACACCATTACAATCTCAAAATAAACATTGAGCTTTGTAATATACAAGTCACTTGACCTAGATCATATCAAATTTAGTTAAATTACACCTATTTCAAAATATAATTTGGACTAATCTTGGATAAATTGGCATACGCATCTGGCTTAGAAATATTCCATTGATGCAAAAATATCACATCATGCAATACCACCTAACACATATTCACATTTCCCTTTTATTGTTAACATTTGCACTCATTTAAGTAAACCAAGGCACATGGGCTGGTATTACATCACAATTTGTATTAACATTTCTTGTAGCTTAGATCAGTTGATCATTACATAATGTAATTTGCTCCTTAGGCACTTTCTATTCATGTATTTAATTTGTGTTTGTAATATCTATTAACTTCCTTAAAATATTTCTAAACCACATTTATTATTTGATGGCTAGTATTGAAATTTATTCACCGGTGTAAAGACAGTTTATTTCCTTTTTAATTCCACTATTTTCAAATTTTTAAATGTATTTTGACTTGTACCACTGCAATAAAAGTATATCATTGCATCCATAATAATGCATCTATTTACAAATTACATTTAATAATAATCATCCAATGGTTAATTTTTCCCTTTATTTTTCTGAAACTTTGAAAAATAATTCTAAGACAAATAAAATAAGAATGTTAAGATTCTAGTACGGCATTTGTAGAAATCAATTGCTTTGAACGAATTTGTTATCTTGTTTTGTTTTGTTTTTTTTTTGTAATTGAAATGGAATTTTAAAAATCTTTGATAGCATCAGATCATTGCACGGAATAGTTTGTATTGCTAATTGTTTTTTAATATTTAATGGAATGCTTGGATGGAACGCAATGACATATGGCAAGGCAAACTGGGCAAATGATCACTTATATATCCTTTGAATCCGACTGGTAAAAAAAAAAAATATTACTTTAAAATATGTTTTTCATTTGTTTCAGTCTTTTTTTAAACTACAATAATAATCTTGTCATTGTGTTATATATTATTACAATAATTTGTTTTAATCTTGGTTTGGCCTTGTTGCACAGGTCTGTCTGCTATATACTATTTTTATCTGCAATATTATAAATTTAAAGCCTGATATTTATTTATTTATTGCAAATTTAAAGCCCTATATGATTATTCTGAAGGATAATGAAATTAAAATAGTGGAATTAACAATTCCGTTTGAGAGCAATACTGAGAAAGCACACAACAGGAAAACTGTATAGCCAGCTAGGTGAAGATCTTAAAGCTAAGGACTTATGCAAATTTTTTGTGCAGAAGTGGGTAGTAGATGGATCATAACACCCAATAACACTAAGAGATTATAATATATACAGGTACTTAACATTATTGGGAAAAAAATGACACTTTACTTGTTAAAGTATAAGTGAAGGCAAATTGGTTAGTTTAATCTTTTAATTGGCTTATTCAATCAAGTATTGTTTTATGTGAATTGTTTGTAAATATTTTTTATTTATGTACATTCTTTTGTAAAATATGAGTTTTGTAATAAAGAATGATAATATATACAATATGCATTAATTTCTGGGAATCTAGGGCCACATATTTTTCAAAGTTACTGTAATATATTTCTTTGTATACTCAACATTCAAATTGCAAACCTTTTCATCCCGCATTCTTCTTACACAGTCAGCCATAATCGCTCTTGCTTTCGTTCTGTTTTTCCTATCAACAAACACAACACCACTCAACAGGCAACCAAGTCCTAGAGATCCCATGTACTTGATGGACTCCTTAGCTAGGATCGTACACGTTCCGCCAATGTGATTCCATACATCTACTAAAGCTGAGAAATACAATACAAGTTTAATGGATGACCTTCAAAAATGGAACAGGAAATAGTTGATGGTGCATATGAACAAGGGCTGGTTAAACAGTTAAACTGTCATGTAACAGACGTGATGTGTCATAGATTATGGCTTTACACACTAGACACAAATAAGAACTGTGAAGCATATGGAATGCAAAATTACATTTATAATGAAATTAACTTTGAATCCATGCTTTCTTTACAATACAGTACATGTAACTATTCCTTTTAGCGTCAAAATATACCCACCTATTTGGTCCATCTCACTTTGGTGATTACTGACAATTACACAAGAATCTTCACTATTAAGAACCTTTAAGTTTTTACTTTTAATTTCAATATTAAAAATACTTCCTAAGCGCAGAAAGTGTGTAGAGTATCGCCACCATCTGAAAAAAATAGAAACAAACAACAACATTTATTTAATTTCAATATGGAAGTCGTAATCAACATAATAATACAGTACTGTAATTATTCAGATCATACTAATTCAGACAAATCCATCTTTGCTTTCTGTAAGCTTGATGATGCAACTGCATTCTCCTACTGCAGTAATCATGAAATATAATTAATTTAAAACATATACAGTAGGTCCTCCATTGGCGTTTCACACCCCCGGTAAAAACATTGTACTGTAGGTCCCCCCACTGTGTATTTACGTATTGAACGATGAAGCAGAGCCGCATTGTAGGGTTCTTTCTGTTATCAGTATATTGTTTTTTGTAAAGTGAAAATACCTGAACTATTTTTTTTAAAGATTAAAAAAGGATGTGTCCCGGTCAATGAGAAAAAAAATGCTTTAATGCTGTGGGACTGCAGATTCCAGCCCTTTGATTTCATTTAACATATCTAGCTAGCTAGTTAGTGGTAGCATATCTACAGGTGTGCGTG